TGAAGGAAATTTTATGGTTAGTGTACCAGGAATTTCAGTTCTACTGTCATGTGGCATTTTCACTGAGGAATACATGATTGTCACTTCACAAAATGTTGAACAACTCCCTCTCCCAAAGATCCAATTTTAAGTAATTTGCAAAATTTTTTGGTTATCATATTTTTCAACTCCTTATACTGGCCACAAAAATACACCCACAAAATATTCAGTTTTAGTTCTTTAACAGCCTCAAGACCCAACTCTTGACAGCTGGCAGTGACATGAGAAGTCATATCAGTTTCTACTTCAGCAGTCCATCCATCCAAGCTGTACTGGCACTGTTCACGCTGATGTGTGCTTTGGCCTATGAGAAAGATCTACAGATGTAAACATAATGGAATAAACTGAATAATCCCCCAAAACAAATATTTCATTTCTGAATGTTAATGGTCTGGTACGTACGGGCACAAGCAATTCAAGACTTTTGTCTTCTGTTCACCATCAGGTATTCTCTGGGCCAACAGAACAAGGGTTTTGATTGGCAGTGGACAACTGAAAGAGCTGGTATTATGCATATTTTATCTAACTTGCAACTGATTGTCATGTTTCCATAGTTTATTGTTCCTCCTACAATTCTCTACTATATCTGCCCAGTTTGCAAATTTTGCTTCAAAAGTTAAAATCCTGCTGGATTTTATTCCCTCATTTGTCGCCAAGAGCAATATCAATTTGGCAGGCTGCACCGAAAACCTTGGAAGCCACTCTTGTCATCAGTCAAAATACATTTGAATTTAAGAATATGAAAAATAGTGTTGAAGTCAATAGAATTACCCTGGGTCATGTCAGAGTATATTGTGCTTGGTGCATACTCCTGTAAGGCAGTATAATCTTCAAAATCTGCTCTCCAGATTCTCCTGGGGGGCAGAAGTTGTGAAGATATAAGAAGCACATTCCATCCTTACAGTGGAAATTCATTAATAAGCCTTCATCATGCTTGCACACCAACAAGGTTACCAGTCTTTAAAGACATGGCTTTTGTACAGGGGAAGCAAAATATGTCAAAAAACCCCCAAAAGTATCTTATGTATATGTGTTCTTAAATGAGGTAAAGAGTCTTGGCTGTTCACCTTACCTTCTCAAAAGGTCTTGTAATTTCAATATTTAGTTCTGCTTAACTATCTTTTTCTTAAGACGTACAAAGAAAGGAAGCAGTAGGACTTCCCTTGTATTTTGACCATAATAGTTGTCCTCTCAGTTACCTCAAATATTACATACCACAGTAGCATGTTTCTATCATTATTTTCACCTGTGAAAAAATAAGCAGAACGCAAAAAGCAAAGGCACTTAAAATTATCTAAAAGGTTTCCAGGCTGGAACACCTGTTTTCAAAGACTGTTTCCCGGGGAAGAAGTCGTGGTGAGGGCTGCGCTAATCAGTGGGCAACAGAAATGTCTTTTTGAAAAATGTGTAGGGTGAGGGAGAAGTAGGGTCACCTCATCACTCTGTCTTAAGAGACAAAAAAAAAAATGGCTATTTAGAGATTTTGAATATAAGTTGTTGTACCTCTCCCCTGAGTTGGCCATTAGGCAGCATAACAAGCCTACTGGGGCCTTTTCTCTTAATTTAAAGCCGTTGCAGAGCACTGCAGAGAGGCTGTAGCTCTGGAGAGCTGGATTCAAGCGCACTCTAATGAAGGTTCGCTCCTGGGCGTTGTTCGAGCCCATTCCTGGGGCTGCACTGACCCCTAGTGACCCCTATGTTTAATAAACATATATATTTACACAACGTATTGCTACACAAAGGAGCTTTAATCAGAAGATGTCTGCACTGGGAGGAATTTTTCTAAATCCTCTTTTTTTAAGCAGTCTCTACAATTCCCAATGAATTTTTATTCTTTTTTTTTTTTTTAGAACAACCAATTTTTTTCTCATTCAGATGTTGATTTGAGATGAACTTTGCTACCTTAATTAATAAACAGCTTATTTAAAATATCAGTGCTTCTAGAGATGCTGGGAAATAGCGTTTTTAATTTAGCCATACAAGGTTTCTTTCAGGATGCAGGATCTGAGGTTGGAAGCTTTGCAAACTTTTAATAAAATACAGGTGTTACCACTGTTAATCTGTTTACTATCTAATGTGATTCACCTACACTAGAGGTCTGATGTGCTTTCAGAAGTACCATCTGGAAAAAACATTAGCATATTTTACCATGCATAAGGCGAAAGCAACAAATCGTTTCTTTTCCCTGGGCCTTTCGATTGAGCAGCAGCTTATGCACACGCATACATAATACAAGGGCAAGTCCAACTCTCCTTCAGTAGCCCTCTGCCGCTGATCTTTGGCTCGTTATCTCAGGACTTGTTTTCCAGTACTATCAGTTTAAATCATCGTGGGGGATTTGTCACGCAGTGAGTATGTGAAAACACAGAAACACAATCCTTAGGGCCTCACTGCATGAAATGTGGAACAGCCTTAATTTTCTTTGGCTCCTTTGGGGCCCTAATGACAGGTAGAATCAGGCAAAAGGAGATTAAGTAACATAATAGGAGATGCATCTGTGATATGGAGAACACGTCTATTTTTATTATTTTCATGGATCCTAGTGCCTTTGAGGTTGTGAAAGGGAAATCTCAAATAAGGATTTGGTCACACAAAGCAATTTCCATTCCTCTGATTTCAGTGAAGAGTAATTAACACCTCACAAGAACTGTTAATATCTCATTGAGCCATGTTATTTATTGTACAATGATGAGGTATTTCTTAGCACCTGTGACTTCCTGGGTTGAGCAAATGATGATTAAGGGAACAGTATTTGTCACTTCTCTACACAAAGCTCCAGTGAAAAGGGAAGAGATCATAGAGTCATGGAATGGTTTGGGCTGGAAAGGACCTTAAAGATCATTGAGTTCCAACCCCCCTGCCATGGTCAGGGACACCTCCCACTAGAGCTGGTTGCTCAAAGCCCCATCCAGCCTGGCCTTGAACACCTCCAGGGATGGGGCATCCACAAGTTCTCTGGGCAACCTGTTCCAGTGTCTCATCACCCTCACAGTAAAGACAATGTACTAAGGCTGTGCTCCCAAAACAATCTTGGATCAGCCAAGTATTGCCATCATGGCCATGTCCTTTGCCTCCTGCATTTTTTTGTCTTTCCAGTGAGCTGGGCCTGACACTTAACCTGATCCTCTGCCGGGTATATCTTCATCTTAAGATGCTAGAAAACAATTTTCTTTTGATTTTGGCTTTGTCTTGTTGGGTTGGCTTTTGAGGGTAAGGAGGTGGATTAAATTGCAGCAGGAGGTGCTAATTCTTTATGATCCCACTTGGAAAGGCACTCAGATCCTATAAAACATCTCTTAAGATGCTGGTTTTTTGAGATCACACTAAAAATAAGATACTATAGATAATCACACGACCCTTCAGATGCTGGGAATCCCGAGCTGCGTAGCATCAAATGGACCTCAGACGGTGGCCCAGCAAGCCCTGCAGACCCCATCCATGGAAAAGTTACCCCACTTTAATAATTTGAGCTCATACAGGATTTTCCCAAAGGAGCCAACTCTATTCCTTATTTCTGCTGTAGAACAATGTTCTACATGACAATTCATTCACATGACAATTTCTTCTCACTGCACTATTAGATAATGGTGAGGCCAGGCTGGAAGCCATATATAACTGGACACAATATCCTTCTGAATGAATATTGAAAGGAAGAAATTGCCTTTTAAATGCTGTCACAAGCCATCATGTGCTACAATTTGAAAATCCGATGTCTAATTAGAGGGAGAGAAATATTTTCAATACACTTTGTCTTTGCTTTTAAAAAGATGCTTCTTGACTGTTTTGTACACTCTGTAACTCTCAGCTACACCAGATACTCTGTGTTTTTCTATTCTTCTCTCAGTGAAGGAAAGTGATGCCCAACTGTATGCATGTTTATAACCACTACAGTGTTTTCTAAGTTCCAATGATTAAAAATTAGATTTCTAAACAGAATAAAAATCACACCATTATCACCTAAGGCTTATGAAAAATATTCTCAATAAAGTAGGAGAGAGAGACGTATGACTATATTTCTCATAGAATGATAGAATTATTTCCATTAGAAGGCACTGCCAGAAGGTGTCTGATCCATCCTCATGTTCTAAACAGTCACAACCAAGAAAAGGCTCCAAGGAAGCAAAACGCTTCTATAGTTACAGTTATGGGTGCCACTGAGATAATTACTGGATACCAGTGTTACAGAAAAAGTCTGTGGGGCTGGCCTCCAAAACTGATTATGTTCTAAGAATGACCAAAGGTCAGGTAAATGCAAAAATGGAAAAGCATCTGAGACAAAGATATGAAGTCACATATATGTAACAATGTACTATAAGGTTTGTTTCTTCAGAAAGCAGTATTCAAACGTCCTTTTTATCAGTCTTCCTCTCAGTCTTTACCCAATCTCTTATACTTTAGTTTAAAATATGTGTAAAAGTATATTTCAGTTAATTCTGAAAGTGTTGCTGTGAAGTTCATTTAGTTCATAACACAGTTCTGCTGCCCTGCTAAAATGGCAAAATCTGAAGATCATACTCACACTGATCCCCCAAATCTGACAAACAGCTGAACCATCTAAGAATCTGGCTTTCATACCAAAACAGTCAGTTTACAGAATGCATTACTACTGCTGTTTACATTAAAAGTCCTCTGAAGCTGCTAAGTAAAACTCATAGTATTTATTCATATTAGTACTTATGCATTAAAACATTTGTCAAATAAAACAGGGAAAGAGTCTGTTTACAGATTTGTTTCTTCTCTATGAACATCTTTTGCTATCAGTCTTACAGTGTACAGCTATAGTCTGCAAAAGTAATTTCAAGTGTCAAATTTTCTTAACAGATTAAACTTAGTGAATATGTGACCATACAGAGCATACTTTTAAAATTTTTGTCAGTTTTGAAATGCTACAGTGTACTTCCTACATCTTATTTTTGGAATTTGCAATTTTATCATCTTTTGTTCTCCAGTTGATAATTTCCTTATTTTGATTTAGGTTTTTCTTGTAAATTGATGTGCTCACTTAATCTCTTTCTCTTCTCTACGTATCGTTGTCCTTTTCTGTTCACTTCCATGTTTTCTTGGCTCTTCTGTCAAAATAACAGTAATATTGTAAAAAAATAGAAATCATTAGTTACACAGGCAAAATTACACGTTTGCAAACAAACAAAACTATTAACTGCTATTTCAGACTACCCAGCATTGCTCAGAATCTTGCAGATTTTGGTTGGGGAAGTTGTAAGAGCAATTTTACATTTTCCTAGGTGGCAAAAGACAGGTCACTTTTACTAAAAAGACTGAATTGTAAAAATTTCTATTAAACAACTACCTGAATGGCTGTTTTAAACTTCGAGAATGTTTTTGCACGTGGATTTCTTTTCCTCCAAGTTGGTACATAATAAGATCCTGAATTATATTTGTCTATAGGAAAACAAACAAACAAACAAACAATCATACATATTGTTTCTTAATTTCAGCTACACTTTCAGGAAAGACTCTGAGATATGTCTTAACTTAGTCTGAGATGTGAATTAACTATTACATTAGCTGAAGTATCATTTAATGCATTGGGTGAATCACACATCATCTGTGAAATACAAGCTAATATGAAATATGGACTTTCTCTCTAGTACTGTAAAGATCATTTGGAATCTTGCAGTGTTTCCATCAGGCTCACAGGGTCTTCCAAATTAGGTGATTCTTCCATGGACATCTTTTTGACTTGAACAAAGTGAATGTTCCTGTGCTGAAAATCTTCCCAAAGGCACAGAATCAGAGAACCATACAGTCACAGAACGGTTTGGGTTGGAAAGGACCTTTAAAGGTCATCTCGTCCAACCTCCCCTGCAATGAGCTGGGACATCTTCAACTAGATCAGGTTGTTCAGAGCCCCATCCAACGTGACCTTGAATGTTTCCAGGGATGGAGCATCTACCATCTCTCTGGGCAACCTGTGCCAATGTTTCATCACCCCCACTGTAAAAAATGTCTTCCTTACATCTAGTCTCAATCTAGTCCCCAGGTGGGATCTCAGCAGAGCAGAGGGACGGAATTCACCTTCCTTGACCCTCTAACCTTGGCGTGTCACCCCACAGCTTTTCATAGGCAAGCCTGATATTACCCTCCTTAAGACTACTTTAAACCTCTGTCAACGTTCCCTGTCAGCTCATGAGCCAAGAGCCTCTTCCCTATACAACGCCAGCAAGCCTGGTACCCTGTAGGCCGTACCATTATTGAAAAACCCAAAATTATGTCAGTGACACCAGCCATGGAGCTACATATTAATAGACTGGGCTCATCTGTTTCTTCCAGTATTGCTGCCTTGCAACTGGGAGGAGAGATGAAAAAATAACCTGTGCTCCAATTCCCTTACCAACTGTCGCAAAGTCCTGAAGTCTCTTTTAAACCCTTTTGGATTATGCATTGTGGCTTCATCACCACACACATGAAAGAGCAGCAATGGGTAATAATCCAAGGGTTGTACCAGGCTAGGAAGTTTCTTAGTGATGTCATTAACTCGGGCCCCAGGGAGGCAGCAGACCCTAAGATCTAAGAGGAAGGTCTAGCCTGTATATTGGACCCTTTGCTCCCCTCAGAAGCCAGTCGTCTACAACTGTAACCCATCCTTTCTTCCTTGTGGAGGTGGCTGTGTTACAGGGGGTAGGCCTTTCTGACCTTGGCACCACCTCTGGTGAAGATGAACTATCATTCATATTGTCTTCCATTGACTGGCCTTGTACTTGTTTTACAGAGGCACCTGGGAAGGTGAGATAGGTAGGGAGGGGGTTCGCTTGCCACTCCAAACGTGGACTTCCCTCCATTTACTCCTCTCCTTTACGCTACTACCTTCAACCTGTTGGACTCTCCTTGATCTTGGGTTTTTCCTGGTGGTTATTCCTGTTCCTGTCTCAGGGAGAACAGAGTATGGTTCCACCAGTCTTTCCCTTTCTCAGTCTCCCTCATGCTCCTTAACCTTTCTATTTCTTTCATAGCTCTGCCACATGGCTAAGCAGATCATCCACTTGGTCACAACTCAAACATCTGTTCCCATGACTGCCAGACTCTGGCACTCCCTGCAGCCCAAGATGTGGATGGCTGCATGTTTACGTGGGAGCTCTGTCTGAGTTGCCACATCCTTTCTGCCAAGTGCAGAGGACATGGCTTTCTGCTGGGAGGATACCATAACCATGGTCCTTCTGAGAGGGTGACGACTACTGATTGAACTCACCCCTTGACATGGAAGGGTGACTACATCCTTCCTGTACGCTCTTCCACTCAAACTACCATGCAAACTGATATACCACAGTCTGGCTGATGTGCCACACTCTGTTTGCCGACTCCATTCACAGAGAATTTAGATTAAATGAATCCATAATCCACTCTACTGTTTTATCTCTGCTTGTGAAAGCACTAGATGAAAGACAATATCATGTTTTTGTGCTGGACAGGTGATTTTGCATCAGAGTATGCTGCCTAATGACTAACTGTTTTCTGTAAAATTTGGGTGAAAATCATTGTTATTAATACTCTGGTTTTCTGTTAATCTCAGATTAATTCCATTAATTCAAATTATTAATTGCACAATGATCCTAAAGTGCTCAGTTTATGCACAACATGTAAATATTACCATAGTTTTCTGTTTGGGTCCAAAATCTTCTATTTGCGTCAAGCTGATTCAATGGTTTGGAGCTTTTCTGACTGTATGGCTCACGTACTGCTGAAAAAAAAAGGTAGCAAAAATGGTGACAAAAATGCTGATCACCTTTTTTTTTGAAATGCCGTATCCTTTTTTTAACCTGGAAATTTGATAAGATGTATTCTTCACATTAAAAATATTGCCTCTGTCATATCTATACCAAACTGTCCACATTTAATCAAAGCAAATATTCAAAGAAAAGAGAAAAAAAACCCCAACTGTTTGTTGCTGAGACAAAGCAGTGATGTTTGGATTCATTTCACTTAACTCTATTCATCTGAAAGTAGGGAAAAATCTGTCTGAAGGAGGTTCCTTTTATTGGAAATTAAGAGAGGGAATCACCTGAAGATGGAGTTTCAACGCAGTTTAAGAGAGATGACTGAAACAGGCAGGACGAAGTATCTTGCTTAACTTATGATTATTTAAATTATTTACTACTAAATTTCTTGATGAAGTGACAGATGAAAAAACAGAATGATCCAGAGTAACCATGGAAATGGAAAGCAGAAAGGCAAATAAAGCCCAACTGATGGACTAGATTGAGTGAAGCTATATTAGCAAGTTCAAAATAAAGCAAAAGATGTAAAATGATGGTTACATCTGAAACAGACTGCCAGAAAGAAAGATACCAGACTCAGAATCCCACCTGTAGGCTGCTTGTCAAATTTATGACATAGCCTGTGCTCTCAAGGGGAGAGCAGTCTTTCAAAGATGGAAAAAAGATAAATGAAAATATCATCCTGCATGAATGGCAGGAAGAATGACCGCAGTCTTCTGTCCAACATAAACCATGTGCAAAAAATAATAATATAAACCACAAAAACTTACAATCCATTTAAATCAATAACAGAAGTTTAAATAAAACCAAGCCCTTGGTTATTCAAGATGAAAAATAATCCTAAATAATGAAAATAATCAGAAATCCCTCACAATCAAAACTCCAGTGGAATCCTAGTTGTAGAAAAACATAGTGCAAAGAAAAGTCATTCTTTTGTCCCCTACTGGGAGGAAAAAAGTTGAACAAGAAACATTTCTTGAGTAGAAATGGAAATTCTACTGCAAAACTACTACTACTACTACTATTGTTAACCAATATTTAGAGTGAAATGAGAAGTGACAGGTGGACTGTTCTGAGGTTTATTAAATATTTCCAAAGAAAAAATCACATAAAAGATGCTGTAAATAGTGGGGATTGGTATGTGAGTGCACATCAGCACATCATTACATTCACCCCTCTACTTAAGACAGGGAAATTAATGCCTGCTATGAAGGTGGCTAAATTACTGGTCATGAATATTCTGTCTGACTAATTGTAAAGCTTCATCTATTACTCAAAACTTGGCATAATACAGGAGGCCGGAAGACAAGATCTGAAAAATATTCCATGTAGATAGTCCAATCCAAATATGGATTGTCCACAGTTGACACTAGGAACAGAAATTAATTAAGTAGTGCTAAATCATCTAGCAGTTTACTAAATAAAAATTAATAAGCCATAACTGTTCTCTCAAACTACCTTTGCCTGTTACCGTATTAGGTAAATTTCTTGGGTCCTCAGAAATCCATTTCTTCTTTACTTCTTTACAGTGATGGTCCTTTACCAGCTCAGTGTGTTTTTTTTCTGAGGGATTAAAATTAGACATATTTACTTTTTTTAAAAGCATGCAAAATTTTCTTATCTAAAAATTCTGTGATGTTTTGAAAACCTAATCTCCCACTTCATAAACAGGTCTTCTTCGGTGAAACATGGTTTTACGTGCTAATTATTCTAAAAGTATTGTTCCCCTAAAGGAGAGCAAAAGTGGATATATATCCTGCAGCAGAGTTCACGGTGGCAAAATCCTGAAAGTCAAGTCAAAAACTGACTATAAATAAACACAAAGACCAACAGTATTTTGGACTTGTACAACTGCTTTGACCAGCTGTGGCTCAGAATGCTTCTCAATATGAATTAGAAAGTCTTCATGAATACTGCATTTAACATTTACAGTTTAAACTACAAACATTTGCTTTAATCCACCCACACATTTTTAATAACTGACAGTCAAAAGTTGCATGCACTGGGGGAACAAAAACTTTTCCAAAGTCAAAGTATAACGTCTAAATGGGAACCCAATGCAAACGGACTCCAAAGCGTAGGTTGAACAGTTCTGAGCTTGAACAGTGTGTCTCTATAAGATAATTCAGTTAGCAACAAAACTTGAACCTTAATATGTTCCTGTCTTTCGGTGTTTATTTCTCATCCCTTGCACATGTGGTATGCTTTGCCTCTGTCTCAGTTGTACCAGTTCAGTTATGTGGTGTGCAGCAAGCTGAACAACTAAAATGACACGGGATAAAAATAATTTCAATTTACAGAAGGATTATTTTAAACCTCAGTCACTTCAGTGAAACGGTATGGGCCCACATGAAGTTTAAACAGTTAAACTGGCATTGCTGACACTGTTACAAGCAGCGTTGCAGAAATACTAACGAATGGCTGAAGAGTCAACCTTCCTACAGTGGTTAACCTCCCATGTCAACATACCTAGTGACTAAGGGTAATATACTATGGACATGTCTGTTTTAAAACTCCACAGAAACATTTATTTTCCAATTAATGATGCAGTGTGAGAAAGAGTCTCTAGAACATAAAGAACAAAGAATAAGTCAAATATAAAATGGTGAAGTTTAATGTGTGCATTTTCAATTATTTACCACATGATGTTCAGCACTGAGAAGCTGATGCTAAAGTATATTTACCTCCATTTTCAACAGATCTACAATCTGTTCTGGGAATACTCTCTCTTGGTGCTCTGCTTCCTGAACTCCCTTCTTCTCTTTTTATATTATTAATTTTTGTAGTAATTGTATTACCATCACCTGAAAAGGCAACAGAATTATAGAAGCATAGAATGGTTAGAGTTGGAAGCAACCTTAAAGATTATCTAGTACCAACCCCTCTGCCATGGGCAGGGACACCTCCCACTAGACCAGGTTGCTCACAGCCCCATCCAGCCTGGCCTTGAAAACTTCCAGGGATGGGGCATCCACAATTTTTCTCTGGGCAACCTGTTCCAGTGCTTCACTACCCTCATAGTGAAGAATTTCTTCCTGATATCTAATCTAAATCTCCCCTCTTTCAGTTTAAAACAGTTATTCCTCATCCTATCAGTACACTCCCTCATAAATTCTCATCTTTCCTGTGGGCCCCCTTCAGGTACTGGAAGGCTGCTATAAGGTTTCCCTAGAGCTTTCTCTTTTCCAGGTTGAAAAAGCCCAACTCTCTCAGCATGTCCTTATAGGACAGGTCATCTCCTCTAGACATCCTCCAACTGGTCCATGTCCTTCTTATGTTGGGGGCTTCAGAGCCAAATGCAGTTTCCAGGTCGGGCTTCATTAGAATGGAGAAGAGGAGCAGAAACACCTCCCTCAAGGTGACAGGAAGAACATTTTAGCTGCTTGCGCGTACGCACAGGGAACGGCACTGCCATTCTTCTCCTCCCATCTCTATAAGATAGTGATTAGTTTCAGACAATTTCCTTTAACCTCTTATTTTTCATTCTTTCTCCTTTGTTGGTTATTTGGATCCTGCCTCATGACCTCTAGAAAATCCCATAACATACAGGTTATAGAAGACTATGGCTTCAAAGTAAAGAACCAGCTACAAATTACCTGCTCGTTCTTTAAACTTCTCACTTTCCATGAGTGATATTTATGAATTTTATCCAAGCAAATTTATGGTATTTTCAAGATAACAGAATCACAAAATGGTAGGGTTTGGAAGGGATCTTCGGAGATCATCTAGGCCACCCCCCCTGGCAAAGCGGAGTCACCTACAGCAGGCTGGACAGGAACTCATCCAGGCAGGTTTTGACTATCTCCAGAGAAGGAAACCCCATAACCTCTCTGGGCAACCTGTTCCAGTGCTCTGTCACCCTCAAAGTAAAGAAGTTTTTCCTTATGTTGAGATGGAATTTCTGTGTCCCAGATTGTGTTTATTCCCCCTTGTCCTGTCACCAGGCACCACTAAGAGTCTGGCCCCATCCTCTTGACACCTGCCCTTTAGACATTTATAAGCATTGATGAGATCCCCCATCAACCTTCTCTTCTCCAGGCTAAACAGACCCAGGTGTCTCAGCCTTTAATAAGAGAGGAAAGATGCATAAGATGCGTGCCATCATAGTACCTAAAGCATCAGAGAACTCAAATGAAAAAATGCTTGGGGAAACATCTCTATGCTTTTCTCTCAATGTATCAATGATAAATAAATAAATATATTAAAAGCTATATTCATATATCTGTTACTGATTCCTTCATCTGTAGTCTGAATACCTCTAAGTCTAAATATTTTGCCAGACATAGCTTATCAAAGCTATTTTAATAGCAATCATTTTAAAAGTAGAAATAACAAGAAATAATTTTGCCCAATTCTATTGAACAATTTAGGCTGGCAAAAGTGGTCAGTCAAAAAAGCATGACATGTAGACAATTTTTTCATTCCCATTTTTTTCATTAGCACCTGAAGAAAAATTAAATGAAACACCTATGTTGTGTATCTCAGGAAATTACACATTGGATTAATAGCCAATTTCTACCTTTTCCATCTACAGTCAATACAGGTAGTCACCCCATGTGTGACACCATATTTTTATATATATATATGGGGGGGGAAATGAAATATTTTCATGCTCTCTGTAATATGCTGTCTTTAATTGCCACTAAATAAAAAAGCAGGGAGGAGGGGCAAACTATGGAATAGTTTCTCCCTCTAACAGCAATTTAAAAACTGGTAAAAATTGTCCAAGAAGATGAAAAGTACTTGCCTTTCTGCAAGTCTTGCTTGGTGGCTACCAAAGGTAACACCTCATTTTCCTGAGGTGAAGACACAGTTTTTGTTGACTGGTGTTCATGAGGGTACTGAGTCTTGTAATACTCTCCTAAACAAAATCCCGAGAGGAGAAAAAGAAAAGTTTACTATCTTGGCAGCATTGCTGTTTAAGAAAAAGCGACAACTTTCATATTTACCAGATTTATAGCATATTTCCTTTATTGCTCTTTCCTCTTCAACATCTGCAGCAGACTTAGGCACCCAAGTAGAAACATCTGTAGGAAATATTTTTAAAAGATTACTGGGTATCTATACAAAGACCTTCAACAACTCTTAATAATCAAATATCATAATGAATTTCATTTTGGTCTCAGGTTATCTTTTTCTGAGTACAACCTCTGCTCCTAGACAGAAAAATAATTCCTTCATATTAGGCTTTTTCAAGTGCAATGGAATTGCAGTCACAACACATATTAAGAAGCTAATGTTTGTTTATTTAAAATTATTCAAAAACATCTTCTGCACTCATTTTCAAAATAATCCTTAATTTAGACCCAAAAGGAAATCTTCTCATTGAACGGGTCACCAGGGACTGCTTGTCACAAAGTCTCTGCCCAAAGTTACTATCCTGCCAAGTCTGCCAGCGGAGCTGGGGAAGTTGGTGCTTCTTACCTGTCTCAGTTAGGGCTACTAAAGTTAGCAAAGCCCTACTTTTTACATTGTTTAAATTAATGTGGCTTACTTAGACTGAAACCGAGTTACGAAGCACTAACAGCCCAACCTGCCAGTTAAGCTGAATGACAGGGGAAAAGTGAAAAGCATCTCTGGGCTGCCTGAGAACCAGCACAGTGATTTGCAGAGTGCACACATGGGAATAGGTCGTTCTCCCACTTTCACTCTCTGGGAATGTTCAATTCATTCCTTCCTCACAAAACTCTCATCTCTAAGTCAATGGTTTAACTACATTTGAAAAATGAATAAATAAATAAATAAATAAAATACATACACATAGACATTCAGTTAAACTAGTGAGGAGTTTTGTATGGATTCTCTCCTCTAGATTGAAGGATAACTTCTGTAATGAAATGAGGCTGCCCACAGAGTTTAGGGTGCCCACAGAGTTTAGTCCCACAACTATCCTTTGTAAACAAACCTGTGACTTCACCTTCCGTGATGGGTGTGTACAGCCCCTGTTCAGAAGTTTGTTTCCCAGAAAAGAAGTACCTTTTAAACTTGCAATTTGGTCCCTGCATTTTGAGAAATTTTGAAGAGTATTTGATGGCCATCTCAATTGTGGATCACATTTTAAACTCTCCTTAGTAAAAAAAGGTATGTGAATTATACCACTATTATTCTCGTGGTATTATTCTGAGGATTAGCTGGAAACTATTTCAAAAAATTGCCAAAACTCTTTTCTAAAAATTTAATCATTATTATAATAAATCCGTTGTGAAGTACTTTGCAAGAGTGGAAACAAAATCATTTGACTTCCTTGTAAAAGAAAGAAAAAACTGTTTACAGTTCTCTTGCTCTTCATCATCCTCTTCATCCTCTTCATCATTGAGGTTTATAATCAGTGGAGGGTGAATTGGTCTTAAAAAAACCTCTTGTTTTCTGAGTGATTCTTGACAATGGGCTGGCTGCAGAATTTCTTCTTGGACACCCTGTTGCAATGGGGCATCTGCAGAAAAGAATATTCTATTTATTTTACTAGGAGGGAACCAGAATATCAAATCCCGGTTGAGACGAGCAAGTATAGTTCAGAAATCATTATCATATTGAAGGAACCATGAAATAGGCAGATCAAGCCTTTTAGGAAAAAACTTCTGGAGCATTTGGCAAAAGAGCATCTTCCAGCTAGAGAAAGCATGAAGAAACATGGGTACTAGCTCCTCTGAATGGACAGATGAGGCACTGCTGAATAAAGCCTTTTGAAAAGAGGAACATTTTGATCATTCCATGCTATTTAAAAATGGCCAGATATCTCTTCCAGCTGGTGGATAGATCAGTTTAAGATTACAAAATTCTTTCTTCCCATTCCTTTTAAGATATTTCAACATAGGGAAATGTGTGATTAGTAATACCTGGGCTGAAGCGAGTAAATGAGTATAGGACCCCACCTGTGAAAATATTTTAGACGTGCTGAATAATAGGCAGAACTGTATCACTCCTCATGGCTCAGCACACTGATCAGTTCTGGAGAACTTAGCAATGCTAAGCAGAGGAATATCCACTTTTAGCTTGTAGATAATTTTTTCTATTATTTTCTGAATCACATATCCCTTAACTAAGTAAAATCTACTAAATGTAGATTTTGAGAAAGAATATGAAGTTCATGGAAATAATTTACACTTAAGAAGAAGAAAACCAGGAAAACAGATCCTTTTCCTTAGGAATTAATTTCTACCCATAATGTTTGCAGCAAAATTATTTCAGTAATGGGATAGCATTTTCTGAGGGCCAGGAAATGCAGCAGCCTGAAAAGAAAAATGATAAAAAACGGTGACTCTATTTGTATTGTTCCAGCTGAGCAATCTACAGCTACAGATACAATCAGGATTCCATGCCTTGTATTGAAAATATTGAAGCTGGGTATGTTTTCCAGCTTTAAAGAAATAAAATGAAGTGTGGGCATTTTCCTTCATTCCAGTTGTTGTTATTGTACATCTCTTGCTTGCCTATGAGTAGCATGTGTATCATTTTAAACCCATTTTAATAAAATTCCTGCAGATCAGACTTCTTGTAGCTCATGTAAGACAAAGTAAGATACACACTTTCACTTGATAGAGGCTTTTTCAGTGTCCAGAAGAGGGTATTATCATCTCTGGGTAGTGTAAGCCAAATCAAACTTAAATTAGTTTCACAAGATTTCTAAATGATAAAACAAATAAATGCAGTTTTAATGTTTGCAATGTTATTGTGGAGCACATAGACTTTGAATTTATACCTCTTGTAGAAAAAAAGAAAAAGGGATGGGTCCGTTTTCTCAGATTGTTGGACGTTGCTCTTATACAGGACACTGTTTTCCATAGTGCCTCTTGGGCATAGTCTCTGACTCACATTACACCCAAAAACTTGCCTATGCAACGTTTATGACAGCACTGGCTGCCGGGGCCAGTGCTGTGGCTGTGGGAACTGTATTAAAGGCAGTGTGGGCACTCACAGAAAGAGCACTCAAGCTACTGGCTTGGTCCTATGTGATTACTTCCTCTCAATGTGCCAAAGTACGACAGGCCAGCTTTTCCTGGGGGAATTTCAGAACCACAAGGTGTTTGCTTCTGACTAGAGGTCTTCCTGGACTTCTCTTGTAACACCTGTCTCCAGTTCTGGAGTTAAGACCCATGAACAGCTAGTTCATGCACCTGTGACAAGTCAAGCTGACTTGCCCTCACTCCTGCTTCCATCTGATTTCTGACATCTGTCTTGGTTCCCTGCCCTGGATTCCTACCCTGTTCCAGGTTCTAGCTATCCACTACGATTCTTGGTAGGCAAGAGCTCCTCTTACAAAGGACTGAGGAAAAAAATCCCATCTTGTAATGGTGGGTTTTTTCCATAAATAATCTGATTTTCAGATAATGTACTGCCTTACAGACTATTACTGTCCTTCAATAGCCTGCATTCAGTGTTCAAGCCTGAAAAAGTTATTCAAAACAGTGAACTGGAAATTCACCTGCACACACAGGACTGTAATCTGATGTTGACTGTACAAGGCGGGGGGTCTTATTCATGTAACATGTTTATCTCTATCAAGCAGATGTTGTTATTAGTGGCCATACCAACCTCCTCCCCCACCACACACACTACTTTTCATTTCTCTTAAATAATTTTCTGTAAGCACTGGAAGGACATCTTCATGGGTTTACTTACTCTAACAAAAAAATTGTTGTGAAAATACTTTTACTCACTGTTACTAGGTGGCAAAAAAAGTCCATTTATATAACGAGGTTTGCTATGATGGAAGGCACAACTGATCCTCACACAGCCCGAGGGTTGTGTTTCCCAGAAACAGGGGATGCTCCTGTACTTCTGCTGCAGGAGAAAACAGATATTTTCAGATATCATAAATATAACAATAAAAATGGGAGGAAATGGATTAGTACATGGTGTACTGCTGTGAACATATGACTAAGATTTTGTGAGACCACCTTCTGATATTTTAGAACATGTAAAGTTCACTTTAAAGTTCTCTTAAGCTCCTGATACCTCTAAAGTTGTCTTGAGTTAGGTCAATGGAGCTCTTGCAATGCAAAACTGTTCCCAGATAAGAATAGGAGTAAAGCAGTCTACTTACTGTACCGTAGACTTTTCATGAGATGCTGGGAAGAAAAAAAATCTAGTAGTCACTTAATTGACCTGTGGCTGAGTTTCCTTTCCTGCACAATGGGATAATCAGTCAATCTCAAAATAAGTCTGCTTTATAAATGCAAATCTTACACTAGTACTCTCTTACTATTAAAGGACATGGGTCTGCGGGAAAATAAGGAGTGAGGAACAAAACCCAGAAAGATTCCCGACAAAACGCAAAAAACCCAGAAATTTGGGAACTTGTAATCCTTGTACAGACTTATCAGATAAAATCCCCCAATGCAATAACAAAGAGCCCTACACCAACCCCTGGATTTTCACCAGCTGGAATATAAATACTTCTTTGAAGGACAAACCCGTTTTAAAGGACTTTAGTGGAGAACTTTGTAGAGTAGGGTTGATGGTTGGACTCGATGATCCCAAGGGTCTTTTCCAACCTGAATGATTCTATGATTCTATGACTTTGGTTTAAATAACTGATTTTGCAGAAATTCTGGTAGTTGCTGTAAGAAATTATAAACTTGGCCTATTTAGTCAGAATCAAGATAATGTTGATTCAATAAGAAAGTGATGAGTAATCATTATGTGTGATTTCTAATGTATGTGTTCCTTGAGAATGGGAGCCCGGTTCACAGGAGAAGTCCATAGTTTAGATGATCACCACTTCTGAAAATCAAGTATTTTGATCTACAGATGTGGCTGTGACCCAGACAGAGTGACATATCACCTTCTAGCTTCACGTAACAAACCTCCCTTTCAACATTTCTTTCCCAATCAAGAAAATAAGACGCAAACCACTCGAAAATCTACAGCATTTACCTGTGCATAAGGGGAATAAAAATGGAAATTGCAGTCATTCTCAGCTGTGGCCATTTCCAACTCTTCTGCTTCTCCTCCACACTCTTAATACTGGCAGAACATACATGAAAACGTTAAAGCCATAAACATTAGGGCAAATCATACTCTTATCCTGAAGACAGTAGTTTTCTTTCAAAAACTGGACCTTCAGAACCTTACCTCTGCTGCTTCTTTGAAGCAATACTCTAACTGACAGCAAAATACACGGGTACGGAGGAGGTGGTACCTGCTCCAGGCTTGTTGAACCAAGGAAGGCAGTTGATAGCCGGTATGGAATGTTGCATTTCCACAGTTGCCAACTGCTCCTCCAGCTCGTGACATCAGCAAAATGGCGCCATGGGACCTGTGTCGCTTGAACATCTTCCTTTACCTCCATTGCTTCAGAGGAAAGAATGGAAAATCGGAGCTTTTCAGAGTCTCCCATTCCGCAGTTTCTTTAACATGAAATGCAACAAACCCATTTGGTGGGGTAGGAATAATACCCAACTTCTTGCCGCAGGAACTGTGGTCTTGGAAACAACTCTTTGGTACCACAAAGACAAACCTTATTCTTTGACTATTTCTTCCCCAAGACCCTTGTGCCCAGTGTGTTCCTTTCTGTGCCTCTGGCTTTGGATGGAGAAACTTGCTGCTCCCTGTTAGTACACTGTTAGCTGTAACTGCTCGCATTGTTGGCTTTCACTGGGCTTTCTTGCTTCCGAGATCTCCACTGCCACATCTAAAGCAGAAAGAAGAGCATAGACGGGCCCACACTGGCAAAGGCTAAGTCCACCAGTGATGGTTGTAGCACCTCTGTGGTAACAAACTGAAGAAGGGGAAAAAACTGCTGGGTAAGAGCAGCCGGAGAGAGGAGAGAGAATATGTGAGATCCACAACTGAGCACATTGTGTCCTTAATTGACACATCTCTTTTCATTCAGGTCCTAGGCTGACTCTAAAAAATACTATCTAGGAGGGGAAAAGTGGGAATCTTGGCAGATGCGTCTATAAGAAGCAGGTGTTAGTGATTATAGCCGCATGAAAAGTGCATGAGACTGATGGTTCCTTGGAGAAAAAACCCAAAAAACACCACCACTGGACTGGATGGACTAATCACCAGAGTACACATGGACTCTATGCCATTGGTCCACCAGTGGGAACGGTGAGAGATGTGGAAGTGAGAAGCAGGTGCCAGTGACATCACGGGCACACATAGTACAAGGCTGGCTCAGCACTAGTTACACTTGAGCTGGGGAAGAAGTACAGAGACATTGGAACGACTGGAAGTCTTTTAGTCTCTCCAGGAGCCTTTCAACTTGTTTGCAATTCAAGTATGAGGGGATGGCCCAAAGACAAACTGCAAAGGAAAATACTGCATGCTTGACCACTGGGACTTTGTCACTGAAATAAACTGATTTCTAGAGGAATGGCATTACCTAAGTACACAATGAAACTGCTCACCGGGATCAAGGTGGGGAGTATAGGCGAGAGCTGTGAACAGAGAACCGATGTGGAAAGGCTCCCACAGTTCTGTAAGGACTACAACCCTCTGGAGTACACTGGGGAAAGAAAATTCAGTAAGCAGATGAGGGCCATGAATAACGAACAGTCAGTGGGCAGGGGCAGCCAGGAAGAAGGTGCTAACACTGCCAGGAGCTGCGCCAACATGGGCTCTTTGTAGCTGCATAGCTGTGCATGAATGGGGCACAGAAGAAGAAGGTACGGTCATGAAGAATTCAGTCTGTATTGGGTTTGTGTGACAAGGCTTTGGTAGTTGGGGGCTACAGTGGTGGCTTCTGTAAGAACCTGCTAGAAGCTTCCCCCGTGTCCAACAGAGCTGATGCCAGCCGGCTCCAAGATGGACCCCCTGCTGGCCAAGGCCGAGCCCGTCAGCGATGCTGGTAGCACCTCTTGTGATACCGTATTAAAGAAGGGGGAAAAATTGCTGAGCAAACGGAAGCCAGCAAAGAGGGACAGCAGAAAACGCCCTGAGGAATGGCTGCCAGCGCCGGGCAACTGCACCGCTAACGGCCGCCGCCACCGCGCGCCACCGAGCGGCCGCCTCAGCCCGGGGCCCAGCAGAGCTGGGGCGGGACGGCCCTGCCACGGCGGGAGCCGCAGCTGCCAAAAGAGGAGCTGTGCGGCCGGGTTGGGCGGCGGAGCCACGGCCTCGCAGAGAGCTGCTGGAGGGAGGCGGCCGCGGCCCGTCCCGCCGTCCCTGGCGCGAAGGGGCGCTGCGGGGCTCCCAGGGGGGCGGGCAGCGGCGGCGGGCTCCATTTCCCGGCGTGCAGCGCGTGCGGCCGGGGCCATGAGGCGGCGGTGCGCGGTGCAGCGGAAGGTGCCGTGCCTGTTCGTGACCGAAGTGAAGGAGGAGCCGTCGGCCAAGCGGGAGCGCCAGGTGGCCGTGGCGGGCGGGGGCAGGGACCGGGTCCAGTGCCGGGCCTGTCCCGGGCCCAGGGGCAGTCGCTGGGCCGCGGGTGGCGGCGCTGCACGGCAGGTGGGAGCCGTGGGGAGAGGCGGCAGCAGCAGCAGCAGCAGCAGCAGTAGTAGTAGTAGGGACCGTGTCGGCCCCGCTGCGGTGAGGGGGACGCTCCGGTAGCGAGAGGCTTCGCTGCAGTCAGGCCTCGAGCGACGTGCAGGGGCAGGTTTGCACAGGGTTCCCCCCTGCAATGGGGGACAGAAAGGTGGTTTAGGTGCCGTTTCGGCTCTGTCCTGCTCGTTTCCTGCCAAGTGCAGGTGTTCCCCCTGCTGTTGGGTTTGCTTTTTCGAAGTGTCGGGAACAGCCGTGGCAAGGGAGGAGGCTGCTCCAACGTGACCGCACTGGGGTCTTGTGTAAAACCGTGGAGCACGGACAAAGGTGAAAGCAATGGAGCCCAATCCAAGTTATTTCTTTTCCCAAGATGGAAAAGGCAGTGTTGGGACAGGTTGGGGTGGCATTTCCATGTCCAGCTGTAGACCTCCAACTTGTGTTTCCCGATTTTAGTAGCAGCACCTTCTGCTGCCTGTGGGCTGCATGGTGAGCTTGAGTCCACCTGGGTGACATTTTCCTGTTGGTGTTTGGCTTCTGGATGGAAGAGCTGAAATGAGTGCCACAATGCCAGTAGCTTAATCGCCTAGTTCTCAGTTGAACAATTGTCCTTCTAGAAATTTAGAGTAGTTGTGACTGGGTATTTGTTTCAGACCCCAGGATCACTTATTTCTTTGCTCTTTTTAAGTGGAAAAGCATTGAGTAGACAGCACTGATACTGACTATTTAACATCGGGATGCTTTTGCCAGCTTGCATTCCACTGGTCTGTATGTTGCACTGACATGGTGCTGTTGACTTTCTGCTCCAATCTGCAAACTTGGAGCAGCTAGTCATAATGAATTTTTATTGCCATTGTAATAGAGAAAGGCATATCTCAAAATTTTGCCACTTCAGACCAGAACCCTTCAAGTTGATATACACTATGTAAAGTAGAAGGCATCTCTAAATACTAATCAAGAATGGAAAAAGAGAAGAGAGTTTGCAAATAGATTGCGTTTGTCCTTTTGTCTCAGAGTGTTTTGCAGCTTTCATGTCTTGAAGAAGCAATGGTGTATTTAGATAGTATTAGAAATCATCAGTATAATGTTTACAGAGTCCAGCTATAAGAAGCAAGAATCCATCTGAGAACAAGGCAGTAACATAGCTGTGATGAGGTTTTAAAATGCCTGTCTTTTTTTCAGCCATTTGAAGTTTTGGCAACAGAGATTATAACTGGAAAGGTGTTAGAGGCAGATAGCTACAGTGCAATTCCTACTGAAAAGGTGGATGGAACCTACTGTTGTGTAACTAGCTATACAGGTAATAAGATCCATATGCCTATTTCTCATGCTGACTAGAAGCCTTATTTTGCATAGTTTTTCTTTGTATTGTATGATTTTTTTGGATTGCGGCTGTTTGAAATTCTCTTACTAGTAAATCTTCCTTTCAAAGTAGAATTTTTATAATAAAGGGTGTCTTAATGTCCTTTAGAAGGATTACAAAAAGTGTGGTGGTTGGGAGAAAACGACAAGACCTTGGTTCATTGCACCAGTGGGGTTCTTTACCTCAAATTTTAAGGTAACTTTGTAGGGGTTGTAATTGCAAGGATTCACCCAAGAAAGGGCAGTGCTCAGCAGCGTTCAAACTTACCTCTCTTACCTTTCAGGGAAGCAGTTTCATAGCAGGCCAGAAGGCTCAGCTTGTAAGAACTAACAGGACTCTCTGCTAGTCCACTTTTCAAACTGGGCAAGTGCAGGCCAAAGCTGCTGTTACATCCATGGGGGACACAGAGATGGGAGATAAGAAGGAAATGAAATGTCCCAGTGAAGCACAGACACAAGATAGAGGTTCTAATATCTGCTTCCAAGACAGCTGTAAAATACTTTTATTGTCCAGAGGGTATCTTGTGAATGTTTTGTCGCTTGAGTCCTTCTATGAATTTGGACCTCGGATGACTATCATTCAGCTCATGCAGATGCTTCACGAGTAATTAATCAGAGAGACAAATAGGTTGCACTCCTGTAGTCTTTACTGTGCTTTGTCCAGATTTACACACCAAAACCCATTGCCTCTGTCTCCTCACTTTAAAGGCAGGTACATATTTTGCTTTCGTAACAGTAATATTGTAAACAATTAGAAATCACGTTAGTTATACAGGCAAAATTACATGGCTGCAAAGAAATGAAACTATTAACTGCCCTTTCAGACGACTTGGTGTTGCTGTACAATCCTGCAGGTTCTGGTTTGGGAAGTTTTAAGAGCAATTTTACATTTTCCTAGGTGAGGAGAGACAGGCCACTTTTACTAAAAAGACTAAATCGTAAAAATTTCCATCGCACGGTCACCTGAGTGTTTGTTTTAAACTTCAGGAATGTTTTTGCATGTGGATTTTTCTCCAAGTTGGTACATTGTAAGATCCTGAAGTATATCTGTCTATGGAAAATTGTCTCTTAGTTTCAGTTACACTTTCAGGAAAGACTCTTAGTCTGAGATGTGGATTAAATATTACATAAGCTTCAATATCATTTAATGCATCAGGCAAACCATCATTTCTGAAATACAAGCTAATATGAAATACGGACTTTCTTTCTAGTACTTTAAAGATCATTTGGAATCTTGCAGTGTTTCCATCAGGCTCACAGGGTCTTCCAAATGAGGCGATTCTTTCCTGTGTTGAAAATCTTCCCAAAGGCATCAATTGCTTTGACATTACACAAATTTGTAATCCAGTCTCCGTTTTTATCTCTGCTTTTGAAAGCACTAGATGAAAGGCAAGATCATGTTCTTGTGCTGGACAGCTGATTTTGCATCAGAGTGTGCTAATAAGTAACTGTTTTCTGTAAAATTTGGGTGAAAATCATTGTTATTAATACTCTGGTTTTCTGTTAATTCCATCTTAATTCCATTAATTCAAATTATTAATTGCACAATGATCCTACAGTGCTCAGTTTATACACAACATGTAAATATTACCATAGTTTTCCATTTGGGTCGAAAATCTTCTATTTGCATCAAGCTGATTCTTTGGTTTGGAGCTTTTCTGACCATATGGCTTAGGTACTGCTGAAAAAAAAGGTAGCAAAAATGGTGACAATAATGCTGACCACCTTAATCAACACAAACATGCAAAGAAAAAAGACAAAACCCACAACTAGTCATTCCCAAGATGAAGCAGTGATGTTGGGATTCATTTCATTTAACTTTATTCATCCAAAAGTAGGGGAAACTGAGTCTAAAGGAGGTTCCTTTTACTGGAAATTAAGACAGGGAATCACCTGAAGATGGAGTTTCAACGCAGCTTAAGAGAGATGACTGAAACAGGGAAGATGAAATTGCGTTCTTAATTTATGTGTATATAAATTATTGCCATTTAATTTCTTGATGAAGTGACAGATGAAAAGTACAGTGATCCAGAGAAACCATGAAAAAGGAAAGCAGAAAGGCAAATAAAGCCAAAATGATGGACTAGATTGTGTGTAGCTGTATTAGCAAGTTAATAGTAAAGGGTAATCTGAAACAGACTGCCAGACAGAAAGATACTGGACTCAGAATCCCACCTGTAGGCTGTTTGTCAAATTTATGACAGTGTGTGTGCTGTCAAGCAGACAGCAGATTCTTTCAAAGATGAAAAAAAGATAACTGAAAATATGCTTCCTGCATGAATGGAAGGAAGAATGTTCATGAATATTCTGTCTGAAAATTGTAAAGTTTTATAAAGCTTTAGATTTCAGTCTGGATACTGCTGCAATCTACTGCTGAAATTTAGGCTGGATAAAATTTATTCTTGGCCATATTTAGGAATAAATATCTTAATATTCACCTGTAGGGAGAAAATCCAAAGTGGTACGATACAGACAGGCATATTTGAGGCATTTCAAGAATGCTATCTATGTAAGCAGGAACTCACCTGTAGATCCACTGAACTTTGGTTCTTTGGGGACAATGGCAGTATGGTAGACTACATATGCTGGTCTTCGAGGTTGTGTAGAACTGAACTAAGTCTTTCTTCCATTTCCCTTTGTGAGCAGGAACATAGCTGTAGATCCATTGTAACTTTGGTCCTTGAGTAACAGCACAGTAGACTATATATGCTGATCTTTGAGGTTCTGAGGAATTGAAATAAGTTTTCCATTTTCCCTTATGAGCAGGAACCCACCTGTAGATCCATTGAACTTTGGTTCTTGTGGGACAGTGACAGCATGGTAGTCTACATATGCTGATCTTTGAGGTTCTGTAAAACTGAAATAAGTCTTTCTTCCAGTTTCCCTCATGATCAGGAACCCAGCTGTAGATCCACTGAACTTTGATTCTTGGGTGATGGTGACAGTACGGTAGCTGATATGCTGATCTTTGAGGTTCTAAGTAATTGAAATAAGTCTTTCTTCTTGTTTCCCTCACAAGCAGGAACCACCCATAGATCCACTGAACTTTGGTTCTTGGGTGACAGCACGGTAGTCTACATATGCTGATCTTTGAGGTTCTGGAGAATTGAAATGTCTTCCAGTTTCGCTCACAAGCAGGAACCCAGCTGTAGATCCATTCAGCTTTGGTTCTTGGGGGACGATGACAGTACGGTAGACTACATATACTGATCTTTGAGGCTCTGAAGAATTGAAATGAGTCTTCCAGTTTTGCTCATGAGCAGGAACCCAGCTGTAGATCCACTGAACTTTGATTCTTGGGTGATGGTGACAGTACAGTAGCCTACATATGCTGATCTTTGAGGTTCTAAGTAATTGAAATAAGTCTTTCTTCTTGTTTCCCTCACAAGCAGGAACCACCCATAGATCCACTGAACTTTGGTTCTTGAGGGACGATGACAGTACAGTAGACTACAGATGCTGATCTTTGAGGCTCTGAAGAATTGAAATGAGTCTTCCAGTTTTGCTCATGAGCAGGAACCCAGCTGTAGATCCACTGAACTTTGGTTCTTGAGGGACGATGACAGTACAGTAGACTACATATGCTGATCTTTGAGGCTCTGAAGAATTGAAATAAGTCTTTCAGCCACTTTCCCTCACAAGCAGGAACCCAGCTGTAGATCCAGTGAACTTTGGTTCTTGGGTGACAGCACGGTAGTCTACATATGCTGATCTTTAAGGTTCTGAAGAATTGAAATAGGTCTTTCTTCCTTATGAGCAGGAACCCAGCTGTAGATCCATTGAACTTTGGTTCTTGGGTGACAGTGACAGCACAGTAGACTACATATGCTGATCTTTGAGGTTCTGAAGAATTGAAATAAGTCTTCTAGTTTCCCTCATGAGCAGGAACCCAGCTGTAGATCCACTGAACTTTGGTTCTTGGGGCACAGTGACAGTACGGTAGTCTACCTATGCTGATCTTCGAGGTTCTGAAGAGTTGAAATAAGTCTTTCTTCTAGTTCCCCTCAGGGAGTAGAAGAAGCAGTTTTATCATCCTTACATTTGTAAGGTAAGGATGACCCCTTTGTTGGTCACTCAGTTTCAATTTTGGGTCTGAAGTTTGTATTCCTAAAAGTGAAAAAACCAAATCTAGACAATAATCACAGAATCACAGAATTGTGGTGGTTGGAAGGGACCTCAGAGATCATTGGGTCCAACCACACAAAAAAAAAAAAAAACCAAACCAAAAAAACCACACATAGTGTTGTGCTATTGCTCAAAACTTGGTGTATTGCAGGAGACTGGAGGCTGGAAGACAAGATTTGAAAAGGTACTGTGTGGATAGTCCAATCCAAATATGGATTGTCTATATTTGACACCAAGAACAGGACTTGCTTAGGTAGTGCTAAATCATCTAGCAGTTTAGTAAATAAAAATGAATAAGCCAGCTGTTCTTTCAAAGTACCTTTCCCTGTTACTGTACTAGGTGAATTTCTTGGCTCCTCAGAAGTAAGTACTGGAAGGACATTTTTGTGAATTTACTTGTACTCTAATGTACAAATTGTTGAGAAAATGTATTTATTTACTGTTACTAGGTGGCAAAAAAAGTCCATTTATATAACGAGGTTTGCTATGATGGAAGGCACAACTGATCCTCACACAGCCCGAGGGTTGTGTTTCCCAGAAACAGGGGATGCTCCTGTACTTCTGCTGCAGGAGAAAACAGATATTTTCAGATATTGTAAATATAACACTAAAAACTGAGTAAATGGATTAGTACATGGTGTACTGCTGTGAACATATGACACAGAGAGCAGTTCTCTTAAACTCCAGATACCTCTAAAGTTGTCTGGAGTTAGTCAGTGGAGCTCTTGCAGTGCAAAACTGTTCCCAGATAAGGAGTAAAGCAGTCTATTTACTGTACTGCAGACTTTTCATGAATTTCCCTGAATTTCACTGAATTTTTAGAGTTGGAAGGGACCATAGAGATCATCTAGTTCAACTCCCCTGCTAAAGCTGGGGAGATGAAATGCTGGGGAAAAAAAAAATATCTAGCAGTCACTTAATTGACCTGTGGCTGAATTTCCTTTCCTGTACAATGGGATAATCAGGTCGATCTCAAAAGAAGTCTGCTTTATAAGTGCAAATCTTACACTAATAAAGGATATGGGTCTGTGGGAAAATAAGGAGTGAGGAACAAAAGCCAGGAAGATTCCCAACAAAAACTAGAAAACTAGAAATTTGGGAATGTGTAATCCTTGTGCAGACTTGTCTGACATGGATTTCAAAATGAGGAAAAAATTATCTTTTGCTCCAATTCCTATTGGAAACATCAACTTGGCAGAAGAAAGTCACTTTTGTTTTAGACTAAAAAATATGTTTGGAGGGACTCGCTTCTTTCTACCTCTATTTGCATATCTCTGAATCTGAAAAACATCTATGAACATCTCCCCTGTCTCCATAATGAGCAAACAGTGTCGCAGCTGAGAAGTTTTCCACAGTGACAGAGTCTGCACCTGGAACCCTCATGAGGAAAATGACTTTGTGGCAAAGTCACACAAGGTTTCCATACCCTAGTGGCTGCCTTAAATGTGAATGTCCTCTTGTAAAATGTTTTGGTTTCAATTAATAGGTAGATGATACACTAGCCCATGTATAACAGTATTACAGTGACAAATAACAACTCAGGTTTATATCCTGGATGTGAACTGCATCCCAGGTGAGAGCTGTAAATGCCAGTTTGCTGGTTCTTTCTTGATGAGTTTCTGTGTAATATTTTAAAGGAAAAAAAAAACAAAGGCACACTTGAAAATATTTAAATATTTGAGGGCAAGCTCTAGCTTCCAGACATGAACAGCTGGGTCTAGGAGCAGCATCTCAAAACCATGCCACTTCTGGACTGCTCTCAGTACAGCTGGGCCATCCCCCGAGACATGCTGGGCTCTGGAGCCAAAGCCCATCTCCCAGGGGTTAACACCTGGGATCCCAATGCTGGAATGGATGCAATAACAAAGAGCCCTACATCCACCTCTGGATTTTCACCAGCTGGAATATAAATACTTCTTTGAAGGACTTTGGTTTAAATAACTGATTTTGCAGAAAATCTGGTAGTTGCTGTAAGAAATTACAAACTTGGCCTATTTAGTCAGAATCAACCTTTTGTTATTCATTAAGAAAGGGATTTGTGATCTTTATGCACGATTTCTCATGTATGTGTTCCTTGAGAATGGGAGCCCAGTTCACAGAAGTCCATCGTTTAGATGATCATTAGCTCTTCTCACCACTTATGAAAATTTATATATGCAGCCGTGGCCCAGAGTGACATATCACCTTCTAGCTTCACGTAACAAACCTCCCTTCCAACATGGATATATCAAGAAAATCAGATAGAAATCACTCTAAAATCTACAGCATTTACCTGTGCATAGGGGGAATAAAAATGGAAATTGTGATCATTCACATCTGTGGCCATTTTCACTTCTGGTGCTTCTCCTCCACTCTCTTAATACTGGCAGAACATACATGAAAACGTTAAAGCTATAAACATTAGGGCAAATCATACTCTTATCCTGAAGACAGTAGTTTTCTTTCAAAAACTGGACCTTCAGAACCTTACCTCTGCTGCTTCTTTGAAGCAATACTCTAACCAACAGTGAAATACACAGGAATGGAGGAGGTGGTACCTGCTCCAGGCACATCAACAAGCTCCAGGCTTGTTGAACCAAGGAAGGCAGTTGATAGCCGGTATGGAATGTTGCATTTCCACAGTTGCCAACTGCTCCTCCAGCTCGTGACATCAGCAAAATGGCGCCATGGGACCTGTGTCGCTTGAACATCTTCCTTTACCTCCATTGCTTCAGAGGAAAGAATGGAAAATCGGAGCTTTTCAGAGTCTCCCATTCCGCAGTTTCTTTAACATGAAATGCAACAAACCCATTTGGTGGGGTAGGAATAATACCCAACTTCTTGCTGCAGGAACTGTGGTCTTGGAAACAACTCTTTGGTACCACAAAGACAAACCTTATTCTTTGACTATTTCTTCCCCAAGACCCTTGTGCCCAGTGTGTTCCTTTCTGTGCCTCTGGCTTTGGATGGAGAAACTTGCTGCTCCCTGTTAGTACACTGTTAGCTGTAACTGCTCGCATTGTTGGCTTTCACTGGGCTTTCTTGCTTCCGAGATCTCCACTGCCACATCTAAAGCAGAAAGAAGAGCATAGATGGACCCACACTGGCAAAGGCTAAGTTCAGCAGTGATGGTCGTAGTACCTCTGTGGTAACAAACTGAAGAAGGGGAAAAAACTGCTGGGTAAGAGCAGCCAGAGAGAGGAGAGAGAATATGTGAGATCTATAACTATGTAGACACCAAGATCAGTGAAGGAGGGGTAGGAGGTGCTCCAGGCAGTGGAGCAGTTCCACCTGTGGGCCATGGTGAAGACCATGGTGAGGCAGTCTTTCCTCTTGCAGGCCAACGGAGGTCCATGGTGGAGCAGATATCTACTAGCTGCTCATGAAGGATGCCGTGCTTGAGCAGGTAGATGTCCTTCAATGCACCTGTGACCCCCTCAGAGAGCCTGTGCTGGAGCAGGCTCCTGGTAGAACCTGTGACCCCATGGAGAAAGGAGCCCAAGCTGGAGCAGATTTGCTGGCAGGACGTGTGACCCCATGGAAAGGACTCATTGTGGAGCAGTCTGTTCCTGAAGCAGGCCTCACACTCGAGAAATTCATGGAGGACTTTCTCCCATGGGAGAAGCAGGGGAAGAGCATGAGGAGGGAGCACCAGAGACAACCTGCGATAATAAACTGAGCACAACCTCCATTCCCCATCACTGTGCTGCTCGGGCAGAGGAGAGGAAGGAAAATCAGGAATGAAGTTGAGTCCTGGAAGAGGGGAAGGAAGGTGCTGTAACACTGAGCTTTTATTTCCGATTACCCTATGCTGATTTGATTGGTAATAAATTGATTTCCCCAAGTGGAGTCTATTTTGCCCATGATGGCAATAGCTGTGTGATCTCTCCCTGTCCTCCTCTCCACCCACGGGCCTTTCACTGCATTTTCTCTCCCCTGCCCAGCGAGGAGCAGTGACTGGGCGGCTCTGGTGGGCACCCGGCCCCCAGCCGGGCTCTGCCCAGCGCAGCTCCAAAGGCCCTGTGCTGGGGCTGAGGGCCTGGGCAACCAACCGCAGGCACCTTCCCGAGGGAGGCAAAATCAGCCACAGAGCGGTCCCCACGCCCTGGGGACAGTCACCCCTGTCCCAGGCCCGGGCGTGAGGCCCCCGGGACAGCAGAAAACGCCCTGAGGAATGGCTGCCAGCGCCGGGCAACTGCACCGCTAACGGCCGCCGCCACCGCGCGCCACCGAGCGGCCGCCTCAGCCCGGGGCCCAGCAGAGCTGGGGCGGGACGGCCCCGCCACGGCGGGAGCCGCAGCTGCCAAAAAAAGGGGGTGCTGCAGGCCCTCGGCCAGGCTGGGCGATGAAGGGCGGCTGAGCCACGGGCTCGCTGAGGGCTGCTGGAGGGAGGCGGCCGCGGCCCGTCCCGCCGTCCCCGACGCACAGGGGCGCTGCGGGGCTCCTGGCGAGCGCGCGCGCGCGCAGCGGCCGACTCCATTTCGCGGGGCGCAGGCGCAGGTCGGGCTCAGCGCTGGGCCGGCGGCGGGCGCGTGCGGCCGGGGCCATGAGGCGGCGGTGCGCGGTGCAGCGGAAGGTGCCGTGCCTGTTCGTGACCGAAGTGAAGGAGGAGCCGTCGGCCAAGCGGGAGCGCCAGGTGGCCGTGGCGGGCTGGGGCAGGGACCGGGTCCAGTGCCGGGCCTGTCCCGGGCCCAGGGGCAGTCGCTGGGCCGCGGGTGGGAGCCGTGGGGAGAGGCGGCAGCAGCAGCAGCAGCAGCAGTAGTAGTAGTAGGGACCGTGTCGGCCCCGCTGCGGTGAGGGGGACGCTCCGGTAGCGAGAGGCTTCGCTGCAGTCAGGCCTCGAGCGACGTGCAGGGGCAGGTTTGCACAGGGTTCCCCCCTGCAATGGGGGACAGAAAGGTGGTTTAGGTGCCGTTTCGGCTCTGTCCTGCTCGTTTCCTGCCAAGTGCAGGTGTTCCCCCTGCTGTTGGGTTTGCTTTTTCGAAGTGTCGGGAACAGCCGTGGCAAGGGAGGAGGCTGCTCCAACGTGACCGCACTGGGGTCTTGTGTAAAACCGTGGAGCACGGACAAAGGTGAAAGCAATGGAGCCCAATCCAAGTTATTTCTTTTCCCAAGATGGAAAAGGCAGTGTTGGGACAGGTTGGGGTGGCATTTCCATGTCCAGCTGTAGACCTCCAACTTGTGTTTCCCGATTTTAGTAGCAGCACCTTCTGCTGCCTGTGGGCTGCATGGTGAGCTTGAGTCCACCTGGGTGACATTTTCCTGTTGGTGTTTGGCTTCTGGATGGAAGAGCTGAAATGAGTGCCACAATGCCAGTAACTTAATTGCTCAACTCCCAGTACCAGCACCATCTTGATAATGGTTATGTCTGGGTATGTTACCCTGGGATGGTTAATTTTCTGCTTAGTAGCTGGTATGGGGCTCTGTTTTAGCTTTGTGCTGAAAACGGTGTTGATAATACAGGGATGTTTTTGTGGTGTGGCGATTAGTTGCTAGCTGGGCTTAAACAAAAATCATCCCTAAATTATTGTTCCTTCATATACAGAAAACCAATGGGGGATTAGATCTGGAACTAGTATATGCTATTTTTTTTTATTTCAGTGTGCAGGCAAGGATAATAAAGGGAGTTATGACTGCTAGGGAAGAAGAGGGGTAGTGGGAAAACCAACAGGTATGTTTTCTCGCTACCCTGAAAATTTTCTGTTTCATGTAATCATATATGCTCTATGATATGGTTACAAATCTTATTACTAAAATGCAAAACAGGCATGTAATGTAATGTAATGAGAGTATGTAGAAGGTTCTCATTTCATGAATTCCAAATTCTGTTTCAAGACTTTTGCAAGACATGGACTGAGTTTGTGTTTTGTCAGCAGAGACAGTGACCAGCTTACAAGTTAAACTTGACTGGGGAGAGAGGAGGGAGGGTGATGATTATACAGGAAATTATTTGAATCCAAACACAACTGATTACGTGTTTGCAGTGAAACTGTTATAGAAGTCCTGCTAGAAATTTGAACTAGTTGTGACTGGATATTTTTTTCAAACCCCAGATCACTTACTTCTTCGCTCCTTTTAAGCGGAAAAGTGTTTAGTAGACAGCACTGATACTGAGTATTTAACATCAGGATGCTTTTGCCACCTTGTGTTCCACTGGTCTGTATATTGCACTGACATGGTGCTGTTGACTTTCTGCTCCAATCTGCAAACTTGGAGCAGCTAGTCATAATGAATTTTTATTGCCATTGTAATAGAGAAAGGCACATCTCAAAATTTTGCCACTTCAGACTGGAACTCTTCTAGTTGATATGCACTATGTAAAGTAGAAGGCAATGTCATTTCTAATCACTAATCAAGAACGGAAAAGGAGGAGAGTTTGCAAATAGATTGCCTTTACCATTTTGTCTTAGAGCGTCTTCCAGACTGTCATGTTGAAGAAGCAGTGCTGTATTTAGATAATATTAGAAAGCAACAATATATGTGTAATACTGGATTTACAGAGTCAAGTTGTGAGGAGCAAGAAGCCATCTGAGAACAAGGCAGTAACATAGCCGTGATGAGGGTTTAATATGCCTGTCTTTTCTTTTCAGCCATTTAAAGTTTTGGCAACTGAGACTATAACTGAAAAGGCACTAGAGGCAGATATATACAATGCGATTCCTACTGAAAAGGTGGATGGAACCTGCTGTTATGTGACTACCTATAAAGGTAATAAGGAGTATTCATATGCCATTTTTTCACGCTGATTAGTAGCCTTGTTTTACATAGTTTTCACTTTTATTGTATGATTTGTTAGATTACGGCTGTTGTGAATTCAACTCTTATTAAACATCTTGACCACAAAGTAATAGTTACCGTAACTACAGGGGGTGTTTACAGAATTCTTACAGATTTTACTCTAAAATATGTGAAGTATGGTTTAAGTGAACATGCCAATCAAGGAACTATTCCAGTTTTAATAATGTTATTGGTAAGTCTTCCTTGCACACCAGAATCTGTATAATAAAGGATGTCTAATTTCCTTGAGAAGGATTAAAAGAAATGGGGAGGTTAGAAGGAAATGAGAAGACTGTGCTTCATTGCATCACTGTGGTTCTTTCCTTTACCTGAAATTGTAAAGAAACTTTGTATTAAACTAGGCAAGATTCTGTGAATAGATTTTCAGATTCATATACAGTAATTCACAAATGTATTTAAATAGTTACTTTGGATATAAAATTTCTCTAGTGGCAAATGATAATTCACATCTTACCTTTTGTATAGTTAATCTCAGTACTCTGCAGGGTATGGTTGCCTCAGTAAACTGCTGGTTTTATCCTTCTGGAAACTCTAGGGCAACCCTATCTATGGGCCAGGCTGGATCGAAAACCCAACAAACAAGCTGAAAAAAGGTTTAAACGATTCTTGTATTCTTTGGAAGACTGCAAAGGTTAGTGAAGATTTTTTGCCTTCTTTTTAGCAATCTAAGTTATGCCACTGAAAAACACCTCTGGTCTACTACAGGAAATGTCAGTGACCCTGCTCCAGTTTTTTCTCATGTCGCTCTTAAGTTTACTTTGAGGGAGCTTTAAATGAGAATCAGTGGGGGAAAGGAATACCAGCAGGGTTGCAGGAGGTAATCCAAGGGTTGGCATGGCATGGACAGAGGGTGTCAGTGCTAGTGGGAACATTTATGCTGTTCCTGGCAACACAAAAGGCTCAGGAGAGTATCTGAAATGCTTGTGCACCACACACACAGTATAAGAAACAAACAGGATGAACTGGAAGTGTTGGTCAGCTCCCAGAGCTGTGATGTCATTGGTATTAGCGAGACTTGGTGGAATGAGTCCCGTGACTGGAGTGTTGGGTTGGAAAGCTACAGGCTGTTTAGGAGGGATTGGCACGGCAGGTGAGGTGGAGGTATTGCACTCTCTACAGTCTTACAGTTAGTGATGACGTGTTTGAGGATTAGGGGAATGGAAAACAAAGGAGATGTTCCAGTGAGTGTCTACTACTGATTGCTCAGCCAAGATGTAAGTACTGATGAGTTATTTTGTAGGCAATTAGGGAGAAATTTCTGGATCAGTAGCCCTTGTCCTTATGGGAGGTTTCAACTTCTTAGACATCAATTGGGGATATCATACTGCTGTGACAAGCAGGTCTTGGAAATTCCTGAAGTTTGTAGGAGATAGCTTCTTGTCATGGGTACTCAGTGAACTAACTAGGAAAGATGCCCTCCTAGACTTGCTGTTTGTGGACAGAGAAGGACTCATGGGGGATGTGATGATAGGTGGCTGCCTTGGCCACAGTGATCACAAAATGATCGAGTTTAAAATTTTCAGTGTAATAAGAAAAAAGGACAGCAGAGTTGCTGCCCTGGACTTCAGGAGAGCAAACTTGAAGCTATGCAGGGAGGTATTTAGCAGAGGGAGGTGGAGGTATTGCACTCTCTACAGTCTTACAGTTAGTGATGACGTGTTTGAGGATTAGGGGAATGGAAAACAAAGGAGATGTTCCAGTGAGTGTCTACTACTGATTGCTCAGCCAAGATGTAAGTACTGATGAGTTATTTTGTAGGCAATTAGGGAGAAATTTCTGGATCAGTAGCCCTTGTCCTTATGGGAGGTTTCAACTTCTTAGACATCAATTGGGGATATCATACTGCTGTGACAAGCAGGTCTTGGAAATTCCTGAAGTTTGTAGGAGATAGCTTCTTGTCACGGGTACTCAGTGAACTAACTAGGAAAGATGCCCTCCTAGACTTGCTGTTTGTGGACAGAGAAGGACTCATGGGGGATGTGATGATAGGTGGCTGCCTTGGCCACAGTGATCACAAAATGATCGAGTTTAAAATTTTCAGTGTAATAAGAAAAAAGGACAGCAGAGTTGCTGCCCTGGACTTCAGGAGAGCAAACTTGAAGCTATGCAGGGAGGTATTTAGCAGAGTACCCTGGGAATCTGCTTTTGAGGGCTTAACAGTCCATGAGTGCTGGGCAGTCTTTAAGAACCACCTTTTGGAAGCACAGGAGCAGGCAATTCCACTGTATCCTAAGTCAAGCAAGCAGGGCAGAAGACCAGCTTGGCTAAACAGGGAACTCCTCATGGAGCTGAAGAAGAAAAAGAAATTGTATGATTTCTGGAAGCGAGGTCAGGCTTCACAGGAAGATTACAGAGCTGTGGTTTGTATGTGGAAGGAGAAGACATGAATGGCCAAAGCTCAGTTAGAGATGAAACTGGCCAGTGTTGTTCCAGACAACAAGAACATACTTTTAAAAGTATGTTAATGGTAAGAGGAGGTCTAAAGAAAACATTGGAATGACACTTGTTGGAGATGGTCACCTGCCTAATAGGGAGCTTGGGCTGACTGGTCCTTGGGAGCAGCTAAGGACATTGGGCTTGTCTAGTTTGGAGAAAAAGAGGCAGAGGGGCGACCTCATTGATCTCTACAGCTTCCTGAGGAGGGGAAGTGTGGAGAGGGAGGTGCTGAGCTCTTCTCCCTTGGATCCAGTGATAGGGTGTGTGAGAATGGTTCAAATCTGCGCCAGGGGAGGTTTAGACTGGACCTTAGGAAGCATTTCTTTACCGAGAGGAATGTCAAACACTGGAACAGGCTTCCTGGAAGGTGGTCAATGCCCCAAGCCCGTGAGTGTTCAAGAGGCATTTGGATATGCTTTAACTTGGTTAGCCCTGAACTGGTCAGGCAGTTGGACTAGATGATCGTTGTAGGTCCCTTCCAACTAAAAGAGTCTATTCTAAGCTATTCTACTTCTCTTGCTCTAGTTTAAATATAATATTGGCTATTTAGGTAGCTAATTTTTAATCCATTAGTGTTGAATTTTTAAACTATTTAAAGGGTACTACGCTTCTTTAAGCCTCCCTAATTGTAGACTGCTTGAGTGTGCCAGATGTTGGTGTTTATACAAAGGAACTGGGGCTACTGTCTGTAAGACAAGGTTTAGATCAATGGTATTTAAATACTTGCATTGAAAGATGATCAAAATGTAAAGATGGTTAACAGTTTGCCAAAAACTATATGTCACATTTATATGCCTAGAATTTGTTTGGAATGTTGAAGAGGATTTCAAGCCTGTTCCAGATACCTGGATTCCAGCAAGGGACATAGAGTTCTCTAATGGCAATCCTTTGCCTGATGAAAATGGACATATGCCAGGTACCTATGATGCAGCACAGGTAAAATGAGGGGGGACAAAAATCCATTTTTAAAGTGAATTAGAATTGGTTCCAGAGTTAAAAGTAGTAGTTGGCATATTCAGGAAACAATTGGAATGGCATTCATTCAGTATCCAGAAAGGCTTTGTTCTTCTGACACATTGAAAATAATTGCAGATTGTTGGGCACACTTACAGCTGAAGGCAGCGTTGTCATGTTTGCATTGTCATGCATTCCTCTGACATTTCCCTGAGACAAGACATAGTTTTTCTTGTTAGTCTTTCTGTTTGTAGTTAACTGCGGGGTTGGTTGGGTTTTTTTTAATGCAGGTATGGTTCTAGTATGCATTTGCTAACTTCAGATATTTCCTTTGGTAAAATGTTGTGTTTTCCCCTAGGTTGGGTGCCTGTGGAGAAGAGCAGTAAGCAGTATTGCTGGCACTCCTCTGTTGTCAATTATGAGGCTGAAATAGCGCTGGTATTGAAACACCACCCTGAGCCAGGGCTTCTGGAAATCAGCCCGGTGCCATTATCAGAAATTTTAGAACAAACATTGGAGCTTATTGGGACAAACATTAATGCAAATCCATATGGTAAGTTTGTATGGTCTCATCTTAAATATTTTTTTTAATTTGGTGTTATTTTTGAGTGAAAACTACGCCTTTTCTTTGTACGAGGTTTTTTTTTTTTTAAAACGTTCTAAGGTGGCAATGTAACATTTTTAGAAAGGAAGGCAAGGGCTAGCTCAAAGAACACTCACCCAGAAATACACACCTCAGAAAGCTGCGTTGTTATCAGACTCTCTATGTCTGTTAAACCTCTTTCCACTTGCATGTTCTTTAGGAGTTATAATAGTGCTTTCTTTAGTCCTTCAAAAAATATTCTGACTAGAAAAGTTGTTTTAAATATTACTTTTAAAATATTTTTTTAGGATTGTTTATTTGTGCCTTTTCTTGACTTTTTTTTACTTGCTCTTCTGGTGCTGTTTAGTCCATTAAAGTAGAAAATTTTACAAAATTTTCCTCAGCCTCTTTTTTTTTTTTTTTTGAGTCCCTAGAGTGAGTTAGAAAAATTTTTAAGTTATGAAATACTGTAATTTTTTTTAGGAAATGTAATTTAAACTAAATTTTGCTTGTGGCCTCTCCCTTTAAAAGCCTTATAACAGAAAACTAGTTAGATATGAACACAAGGGAGTTCTAACTTGTGAGCTTGGGATAACTTGCAAGGATGGATAAGAAAAATAGTAGTACTTTGTCTAAGTGTTTTCTCAGAATCTAAAGGAACTGCCGCAAAAAAAATCCTAGTAGCTGTATTCTTAGATGAAGGTTGATGTTGAACAGTCAGTGAGGAGGGAATGGATTTATTAACAGCTTGGCTTGAGTATTAATCCATTTTCATAAGAAAATATACCAGATTTTCAGGAACTAAGATGTCTGTGCTATGTGTCGTGAAGCATTGAGCTAGTAGCTTTATGGTTACTGGGGAGATGACCACCAGAACAAAGCAGACAACTGTATATATCTTTGTCATGGTTATTTTATATTAATAAAAAGTTATATGAGAAGACAGCTGCATTTGATACTTAAAAATACATTTAACTGTTCTCTTAAAAGCAGGACAGTGTTGTAGTATCTAAGAGAAGTCTACCTTTATAGAATGCTTTTAAGATGGAATTTTCCTCACTTTTGTTGTTATAGCTAAGTTATGGCACATAAATAGCAGGAAGATTTTTGTTTCTTTTAACAGGATTAGGAAGCAAGAAGCAGCCTGTACATCTCCTCGTACCACATGGAGCATTTGAAATAAAGAATCCCCCTGCTTTGAAACAAAATGACATAGTGTCTTGGTTTGAAGGCTGCAGTGAGGGTAAAGTTGAAGGAATTGTGTGGCACTGCCATGATGGGTGTTTAATCAAGGTAATTATATAGATGGACATGTGGAAAGCACTATAATAATTCATAGTATGTGAAGCATTGTGACGTATTCACTTTTTGTCTTGTTTTCAAATTCTTTAGTACTAAATGTTCCTCTAGCAAATCAGGTGACAGTACAATTGGTCAAGCCAGTGAATCACTACAACGATACCATACTAATCTTTTTCATTATCTACACTATACTAATAACTTAAAATAATTGAGAACATAAAAAAACACTTTCTTATCCATCTGTACAGGCAAGACATTTAAAGCTTAATTCTTATATTTAAAAAATAATTCCTTGTAGCATTGATTTATAGAACAAGTATTGTTAATAAGAATGTGGGGTTTTTATTAATTGGCAAGTTTATATTATTTCTGCTGCTGTGGAGAACATCTTGGTTCTGGTTTGCCTTTTGTGCTTCATTGGTACTCATGTTACTCAGGTAACATTACTGATTATAAGTGCCCTAATGCAGAGGATCCTAGAATTAAAGCTCACAAACCCACACCCCCAAAGTTGGGCTACTATATCAAAATCTCTAAATTTATCTTATTTCTTTTTATTTTAGCTCCATCGCCATCATCTTGGTTTACGCTGGCCGCTTGCCGAGACATACCTGAATTCTCAGCCTGTTGTCATTTCTTTTAATAGAACTAAATATGACTGTGACTTTGAACCAAAGAGTTTGTTTCACCATTTTTCAAACTTGGACGGGCAAAGATTTGACAGACTCAAAGATATCAAGTTTGATGCTTGAAGTGATTTTTCTCTCAAGTTGATTGTCGTATGTGCTGCATTCCTCTTACTTCTGTCTACACAAAGCTCTTTGCAAAGAACCCTCTGGCTTAGGCAGCAGCCCAGATACTGTATGAGCCTAAGTGACTCATTTTATATAACGAGAGTTCCACCATCCAGAGCAGAGATCTAGCCTTCAGCATGCTTATTTTCCGGTCTGAAAAATCCTTAACTTTTGAACCCATTTCTGGAAACTGTTATAATTGTTGTCTAACATTGGCTGGTCCTAATAGCTTAGCTAATGGATGCAATCAACTGTAAAAGTTCCATAGGTTGCACTACTATAAATATAATTATTATGACACTGTTACATGTAGGAACCAGTTTTAGGATCTAGTTGTTTTTTAAGTGTAAAGGACATATTTCAGGCGGGGCCACAATTAGTTCTGCAATTTGATAATTTTTTTTAAAGCTGTAATAATTTCTTTGGGGGTGGGGGGAGCAGAACTTTTCACTGTATTATTTAACTCCTAGCTGCAGCATTATCCTACTACTTGAAAATCTAATTAAGCTACATCCTACAGGTAATTCCACTATTTTGGGACAAAAAGAGTAAATAATAGAAAGTATACTACTGTTTTGGAGATCCTTAGTAATTAGAGAGAAACATGACTTGGCTTAATACCCATTTTCAGACTGCATGTCAATTAGGAAACTTCATCAGGGGCATATTAATTAAGATGCCATATTAATAATACAGGTGAGAACATGTGATCATTTGAGTTTGCTTTATTTATCTGTGCTATAAAAGTATACATCCAGCTATATAAAATATACAAAATGAAAAAACATTTATCTATAAAAATACCATTAGTTTGGCTGAAATACTATAACTTTATTTTCAGTTCTTCTTGGGTTTTCTAAAATTGAGGTAAAAATCCAGCACACTGACCCTGAGTCCATAGTTAAGAAGTATGATAGCATGAACAGCAAGAACAAATGACATATTCTCACAAATCTGGAACTTAGCACATCTTTAAGAGTTTCTCAACTTCTAGAATAAGTCCAAGGTTTTGACTTCACCTGACCCGTGTGTATTACCCAAATTACTGTTCTGAATGAAAATACCGTATTTCAAAGGAGTTGGGAGAGGTAAAACTCATTTTTATTTTGACTGGTGTATATAAATACTGACCATAATCTGTTGACTAATCCAATTCTGCACTCTTAGGTATGTGCCAAACTATTGTAACTTTAATAGAATTGTATCATTCCGCGATAAAAACAGACAAATAAATCAGTATTATGTGATTGTCCTGGAATTTATTTTCTGTATGAATACTGAGGACAGTAAGCACTAGCCTAATCAACAGAAACATTGCCTGGACTATCCACTTGAATGCCATACTCTTCAGAAAGCTGCTTTAATCTCTCTTCTAAGATAATATTTTTTTTTACTTCTTCATTGTAGTTGTATTTCAGATCCTCAATTTCTTCAACAATGGAAGGGTCGAAGTTTTCTAATTCTCTTCTCAGCTTATTTGTTTCTTCCTATTAAAAAAAAAAAACAAGGAGTACCACCTTTATCCACAACTTGAGAAATACATGTTAACAACAGTGGTTTTTTTGCCTTTTTTCTTAAGAGGCTAAATGATGAGAGAGTAAGCATATTCTCTAGAGGCACAAAAATCTACCCATGAACAACATGTTCACTAACAACAAAATAGGCTTCATAAACATAATGTTTAGAAATTGACTTTGTCATAAAATACTAGATATCAAACAGGTCTTTCTAGCTAACGGTAATTGCTCACTGTGATGGTGCTCGTTATCTTGCCTAGGATGATCCTTGCAACTCACCTTTAATTGCTGTTTTTCCAACTCTGAGGCTTTCAGCTTTGTCTGGAGGTCAGCTATTTCTGTCATTAACTTGTCATTTTTATCCTTCTCTACAATTTCATTATGTCCTACAAAAATAATGATAATTTGTTATAAAATTTAAGGTAATGAAAATCAGTGGCATGAATAATCTTGTAACGAAATTCTGCATCTCCTGAAAGCTGAAGCAGTTGAAGTGTGCAAACCCAATTGGGATCAACAACCACCAAAAATTCAAGTCATAGGGGCTTTTCTTTAATTCTTGTACAAATTAGGTGCTGGAATATGGCATTCAATGACAGGAACTAGACACCAAGGGCCAGTCTATTAGGATACTTTTGAAAAATACAACACGTACAGTTTCTCTGAATTAAATGCAGGAAACTTGGAAATAACGTAGTATAAGGATCTTGTTAATTATGTTCATAATTCCAAGAGGGTTAATTATTTTTTTTTCCCCACTCATGTGGGAATGTGCTGCTCTGTAATGCTCTGCTTTCCCCATGGGACTGATGCCTGCTGAGCCTTACATCATTCACAGAGCTGGGGTCTGGAAACAGCCACTCCTCCTCTGGCAGCTGGAACCCAAGGCAACAGGGGTGAGCGTGAGGGCTTCAGTGAATGACTGACATCTTACAAGCAGTCTTCTGAGGTTTATAAAACAAATAGTGACATGAGCTACACATCTCCTTGGAAAGGGAAATCTTATAAAGATTACAGCCTCTTGATCAAGATAATTAATTATGGAGATTTTTACTAACACTTTTCTTTAAAAAGCTTGTGTAAGTACTCAAAAACCCAAGACCTTCATCTGCTCCAGTTTACAGTAGCATTAATACAATTCAAATAATTCTGTAGATTTATCATCATTTTGCACACACACATTAAATAAAAGTAGTTTTAGGCTCAAAATACATGGAGGTCTTTAATTTAGGTATTGAAAATGATTACCAGCTGCAGAACCTTCACGGGTATCCGTGCATATGGGGTGCTTGTGATCCTCCACCTGGTGAGCTAGTTCTGCTTTTTCCTTCTCTAATCGATTATTTGTTAACCTGGAATATAAAACAACTTTACAATACTTTTAAAGAAATTATTCAAATATTCTAAAATATAAAATATGTAACAAATCTCAATGGTCATTTCCTTATCATTCTTATTTCACATATATTGGCTGAGGTATTTAGTTATTTAAAAGTACATTACCTTAAAAGCTGAAGCTCCCTCATGAGGCTTTGCTCTGTCCTTGCACCTTCAGGAAAGTGTTTGAGAAGCTCAAGCTTAAAAGAAAAATTAAGATCATGTTTTATGTATCCATGGTAATGCAGTTCAGATGGACTTCCCATTGATACAGGATTAAAAAATGAAGGAAAATAATACTGAGAAGTAACCAACATTTTGGTTATCACAGAGAAAAAATCCCCAGGTGTTCAACAGTGTTCAGACAGTTTCCACAGAGCTAATTATCTACAGCCTTTTTAAAGTTGGCATAGATCCTTGCTGTGTATTTCATGAAGGGTGAAGACAAAAGTATTAAAAAATTAGGTTTACAAGGAAAGTTAGATACGCAGCATAATTTATACATACGCTTAAGCAGGTATATTTAAGTGCTTTAAAAATACTACTGAGGTGCTTATTTGCATACTTAGGAGTCGAATAAAAACCAAGATGAGTGTATGTTGACTAGAAATGACCTGCAGAGAGGGAGTTGGCCTCTAGAATTACCTTCCTCTAGAAGATGCAGGAGCAAAAAAATCAGTGTTTAGATATGAGATAATATACAGGTTTTGAATGCAGTGACAGTTCATGATCTCTCATAAGGCTACCGTTACTGATAGGCTTTTGTTCCATTACTACCTAAAAGGGTAAGGATTTGGGTTTTTTCCACAATCTGTTTCTTTGAAATGCAGTTAGCCACGACCACATCCCTTCATCGGTATCGAGACATGAAAGAAACTGGAGAGTGTGTTGCTCCAGAGTAACATCACATCTTGAAAGAATTCTGTGTTAATTTTGCTGCTGCTGTACACTTCATGTTAATAAAAAAATGCTGACTTTAGAAAAGGGAAAACGAGCAAAAATTAACAAAATAATTGTTTTATAGGACTCAATTCTAAGTTTTATTTACTGAACACATTTACTTGCTTTTATATATATATGACTTTCTATATTGAAAGTTGTATATTTGATACCTTACACTGAGACTGGCCAGTACACGATGTCTGGGGAAGAAAACCGTGCACGTATTAATAACTGAGAAGATGGAAGCTGAGCTAGATGGGTAGTCCTAGGGCTACATCTCTGGAGCACCTAAAGGCCAAAATTGGATACATCTTTTCAAGTGTACCTGAATTTAAAATCCATCAAATCTTCCACGTGTGAAATAATATTTGTAAGACTTATTAGGGACTGTATGAAAGAAGCCATATTGGAAATAGGATCCTAAAGATCCCTATTGGATGGCAAAGTCAATCCCCCAAAAATGACCTGGGAGGAAGAAGGAAGGGTGCTGCTGCAAACACTTTGTGGAACAAGCTGGAAAGGTTTTAATACCATTTGAGCCATCTGTACTAACACGCTTTTGTGTGATCAATGAAACTATAATATAAAAACCTTACTGAATAATACATTAGAAGAAAATTAATTTTCCCCTGAGACTGCAAGTCAAGAACATTTACTGGTAATATGTGGTAAACCTCATTCATTGGCTAAAATATGTAAGTGTACTCCCACAACTAGCACTGAAAAAACCCTATAAAAGCATGGAGTAGAGAAAAAAATATACTCTGCCACTATAACCATTAGAAGGAAATCAATTAATATTAAGCAATCTATTCTCAGAGTCATCTGGCTAAATTTTACTCACTTGTTCTTTTAGATCTTGTAAGTTTTTATCAGCATTGTGTTCACGTTCTGTTGCTTCCTGAAGCTGCCGTTTAAGGTCAGTAATGCTTTGGGTTTTTTTAGCAATATCCATTTCCATTTCCTTCATCTTAGTTTCGTGCATCCTGGTAGTATTTTTAGTTAGAAAAAGATAACAGTAAAAGCTAATACTTCTGCAGAAATAGAGATTAAAATATCTATAGGAGATTTAATGCCATAAAATACACCCTTAAATATGTTTGGGGCATTGGCTTTGAAATAATCACTGGTCTTATTTATAAGTGAGCTGAAAGAAGCATAATGAAAAATACATTTTTAATCGTAGAATAAAGGCTTTTCCAAATGTCACACTTTTGTGGATCTCACTTTTTGGCTACACTTTATTTAAGTGGGATTGGACTTTTAATGGTATTGCACACAAACCCCAAATTACCTCACGCTAAAACATGCACATAGTTTATTGATGCAGTGTGCACATTGGTCAAGTCTTACTTCAGTGTAGTACCTCTGCCAGCATTGTTCTTATGATTTAATAATTTATGGAAAATAAATTGATGTACTGAGAAAAGGGCTACTACAGACACAGAAGATGAAAACTCCAAGGGCAAAATTTTTCTACAAGAAACTATGTTTACCCTGGAGTAACATCAGTCTGAGGAGGATTCCGTTTTGCTTTGAGCCATACAAGGCTACAAATGGGTTTTTGTAGAATCACTGAAATGTTGGCTGGAAGGTACCTCTGGAGACCATGCAGTCCAGTCTCCCATCTGAAGTGGGTTTTCAGATAGCGTTACAATCTCCAACACCCTGCTACCTGCCAAAGAGCCTTCTGAAGGATTGGTTGGAGGACACCTTTGTCCTATCAAATACTTTCTATTACCATGTACATTCCTTGGAAGACGTGCTGGTCAGGGGGATTGCATGTTGAAGTGCCCCAATGAGCTCCTCTAGGTTAATAATGTCTTAATGTTACTCACTTGCTTTAAAATCACATTGAAAGTAAATGCAAATAAAAAGTTTTGATTAACACCAATTGAAATAGGCAAATACAGTTAAGCACAACCATATATTTTATATCTATATATACACAACTACCTATCTATATCAACTAGAGCTGAGTAGAAATGTTTTTCAAGAAGGTGCAGAACTAAAAGGAAAACTGTATTCAAACTAGTGAGCAGATATGGTAGCTGTTAAGTGCCTACTGTCTTCACTGCACGTTCCTGTCCTCCTGTGGCTGGCAGCCAGTTTTGCCCTCCTTCCTTATGCTAAAAACAGCTGTCATCTCACCTTGCGTAGAGACATTTTACTTCACTACATAGTTAGGGGAAAGGCTAAAAAAAAAAAGGAAAGGGGCTTTCTGAAGGCTCAGTGAAGTGAAAAGGCTCAGCAACAGGTCGGAGAAGCACTAGAACTACCCCAGGGGATCCTGTGGGAGCGCAAGACTGGGAAGCGGGTAAAATCTTGGACATCAGCAGGTATCAATGGTCATCCCATTGCAATGAAATCAGACAAGTGTCTTGTCCAGCTGATTTTCTGCCCTAATAAGG